ATATGCATTTTTAAATACGCTTACTCATGTAACTTCCACAAGCACACATATGCATATCTATTGCTTGCCACACGTACTGCTCGATAGTTGTCTTCAATCTTCATGTAAAATAACCTTATATGTATACGAATGTGTGTATTTGCATTTGGATAATTGATGCATTGCAGCAGTTGAGAATTTCACTTTCTGGCAGTTGTGAGTATTTATTTAGTTTTATACTTCTGTGCGCAAAGCAAAAGCCTTGGGGGCAAACATGATTAATGAAAACTTCAGTTGACAAAAAGTAAGCAGGCAGGGTAAGAGAGGATACTTACCATTAAAAATTTTATAATTTTTAAATCTTAAGTGTCGCTTTTAACGGCCGAGATCGACAGAACTGTCGAACTTCTTCCACAGCAAAGTATATATATTGCCCCTTTTTGATTTTCAATTCATTTTGGGCAAGACTTTCTTTCAGCTTCAAGGAGAGGTTTTAACGACCATGTAGATACTTTGGGGACGCGGGTTGGTGATTAAAGAAAAGCTATTAGGAGTCCTTCCTACATACTATAAATAATATTGGCATTTTTCGTGAGTAACGTGCTAGTATGCGATTCCCATCCGTAGTAGCCGATAGTGAGGCCATCTCCATATATACTGACGAAGCTCAGATGGATTGCTGTGAAAGAGCGGGAGTCTACTCTGAGGAACTTGGTGTTGCTCTGTCTCTATGGCAATAGTATATCCGTTTATCAAATCTAAACTGGTTAAGAAATAAAAAATGGAATTGCGCTCTGTGTCTGAGTCAATTATGGTTCAACTCTTCTGGGCTCACGGACATAGAAACATTGAAGGCAATGAGACGGCTGATGAAGTGGCAAAGGCAAGATCTTGTTTGGATGAATGCGAAGCAGTCACGCTGCTTTTCACTTTTGGATTAATCCAAAGAGAAATTAGTATGCATTTCCTTGGATTGGCTAGAAACGGGCGGTCAGGAGAGTAATATTTAGTATTTTTTGTATTTACCATCACGCGGCACTGGCCTCCCGATAATAGCCACAAATTACAGAGTTTCACAACACACCGCCCATCAAACTCAATTAAGCGGATTTCTCCACGGGTGAGTAATCCCCAATTCCGATACTGGGGAACCAATGCAAAAAGGCAAATAAAATGAGTTTTCATGATTTTAGATTCGTACGAAAACAAGAATACGCCCCAATATTTGATCGACTCAACGCTGACGAGGAGGCCAATAATATTTTTCTATCCGGGAATGTTTTGATCTAACCGCGCCAAAGAGAAAAGGTAACGGGTTTAAATACATAGCAACGTGTATGAAATGAAAATTTCTTATCATTTTCTATACAAAAATTTCAAATTTTCGAATCGTACGAAAACAAGAATACGCTTCATTATTTTTAAAAATTCACTCAGTTAAAGAATAATAGTCCCCTTTTAGCAACTTCCCATTTGACAACCGAAAAAATCTGTTGCCTCACGAAGGCGTTTAAATTGTTAAAATTATCAAAATTGATCATAAACTTAAAGGGTTTGTGCTTTATACTCTATCGATGATTTATGAATATGCCCAACTAAAATAGTTAATTATACTATTCACGTAAATATATTTAGAATAAAAAATATATAATACACACATATTCCTACATAAGTACATATTTAGTTGTGATTGGTGTTCACAGGGTTTTCAAGTTAATATTTTTTTATTGTTTTTTTTTTTTTTAATATTGTCTAAGCTTTAACTTTAGGAAAATTCAACAAATTTTCATCAAAATTGCAAACTTTTTAACTTAAGCTGAATCCTTAGTGCATTTCGGGCTATGCAGTTTTATAGCAAAAAAAAATTTGGTCGATTTTTAATAGTTATTTATTTTTGGCGACTGCTTTTGTGGTTATTTTTTATATAACAGGTGGGATTTCCAAAAGCTGGCGCTGATTTTTTGAATTTTGTTGCAAAACGTTCTCCGGTATTTTATTGCATACACTCCTCATTTGTACTCTGCTATCCTCACAAATTGCACTGCATGCTTCATAAAATTTAATCCAGTAACATACATACATACATATACGCTTGTGTATCATATTTCTGCATTTATTTCTCAACTCTCAACGCTTTTATAATTTTAATTCTCACCATGGGAAAATTTTCGGAAGCTCATTAAAATGTTGTGCCACATTTGACCTGATTTCATATTTATGTAGATACACATAGAATGTCTGCACCAGTTAGTGGGGCGCTCTGCAGCAATATGCTTCTTCTTCTATTGCATGCCATGTCGTAAATCAACCCACCTGATTTACCTATTCCTTTTGATATTACTTATTGCCATATTTAGTACCGCCATCACACTGTCTACCACAGCTAGCTGTCCGCCTAATACCGTCCAGTTTACTCAGTTCTCAGTACTCTCTCTCCTCTAGTGTACACCGCCTCCTAAGTATCATCTCTTTCAAATTCAGTGCTGTTCAAACCCACTTCACTTATACATGCATAGTACCTTACGCTATTTATGAATTTGGTGCACGAACTCTGTTGAAATTGCATTATAATATACCAGTTAAATTGAATGCAGCAGCAGGACTCAGTCCGGTTGTTATTTGATCATTTGTAATTGTAATGTGGTACTCGGGTGTGTGTGTATGCCATGTGCCTTTGCGTTCGTTGTGGATTATTTGCAAAATGTATGCGAATGCAGCTATTACTTGTGTATGTATGTATGTATATTAGTATACTAGCATATATACTTATACATACATACATATTTAGTTACTCACTGTATTTACTCAGCATTATTTAATTAGGTAAAACTCTACGTTCATTTGCTCTCATTACATTTGAAATTAAATATCATTGCTTGTGTGATGATTAAGTTGTAACCTAAATATTTTAAATTCGAAAAGAAGACAAGCACTATTTACTTACAAAATTTTAAAATAGGTAAACGAGTGTTTGCGCTGCCGAGAATTCCATTTGTACTTTGCTTTGAATATTTTGCATTAATTGAATCATGTTTTATACTACATATATATTTATATGCATTTGTACATACATATATTTATGTATTTGCGTGAGATACAAAGTGACTTAATTAACTGACTAACTATTTGCACAGTTTGTATGCAAATATAAAACGAAGTTGCTGCCGCTTTGATAAGTGACTTTGATAAGTTGGTCTTCAAGGATCACTGAGAGGCTAAATGTATTTAATGCCGACAAAGCTTACCCCAGCGCTGCATTCCGTCGCTCAGTTGGACTCCATTTCGATGCGAGGCAGCATCGAGATGATACAAAAATAAGTATATTTCAACTTTTGTATGTACATTCGTTCCTACGTAGACAATGGAAAATTTCCTCGTTTAACTCATTAAAAAAACATAAACTGTTCAGCTGAATTTTCTTTATAGTTCCTATTTAATTGAGGAATGAAAAGATATCCTTAGGAATGCGGGCTATAGGTGTGGTTTAAGCTAAGGTCTCACGAAAATTCTTTGAAAATTTCTGATCAATACCTAAATTTTGGTCGCTCAAGACAGATGACAGAACAAAGACCCTGTAAAGATTGCAATCCGTCTGCTGCGAAGTTTGGCAGACAAATATTGATACATTCAAAAAGGTTTTTGCAAGGAACTTTTTTCTAGACAACTAGACTGCAGCTTGTCCAGAATAGACCGAAGAGGGGCGAATACGCTCATACCGTGGGAACAAAGCCTAGACTCCGCTAAGGTATACTGCAGACGGCACGCGCTGCTTTCAAGGAGAATATTTCTCTTTAGTCAAGTCGCAAAAGTGACAGAGATGTATACAATTTTAAAAAGTTTTCTATATTTGTCCATTTGTCCAGTCACTGCTGGTAGCCGCGATGCGGTAATTGTCCAAAGCTTTTAATTAATTTAAAATAATCCCTGTTAATCGGGGAGATACGAGATTTCCTCCTTAAATTGGGAGACAAGAAATTTTCTTATTTTGATTTAAATATTTTTCTGAACAGCACCCTTTTTTATACTGGCTTTTTATTTTGGCTGGCTATGACTAAAACTGCAGTTTGTTAAGGGAACTATGTACGTTAATTAAACTGAATCGGGTCAGCGTCTACGTATTTCTGCATAACATGGCTCGTGGTTTCAATAAAGGCAAATAGTTTTCATTCAACTTCCGCAAAAAACCAATACCATTGCATTAATCAAGCACATTTATTGCCCAAGGGCGCACAGCCTTTACAGTACTACGGTTTTTGAAACATTAGTTGGAGGAAAGTAAAGTTCTCTAATAGTTTTAATACATCAAAACGTCAATCTTCTAACCCCCAAATCCGATGGTCATTTACCACTAAGCGCTCCTCAATTGCATTCACTCCAGCCTTTGGAATCAAATTAATTTGCGGCTATAAAGGTAAATTTCCCAAAACCACACAAATTGGCTTCCCTAATACATATTGAAATTTTTCATGCTGTTTCCTCAAAACCTCAATGCAACTGCGAGCACTCAGCCGCAAGGCGTTTCATTGTAACAATCGCTTTATCTGCTGCAAGCTTATGTAAGTACATATATGCACGTACATGCATACATATGTATGTAGTAAGTAACCCCCTCCGTGTTGGGGCAAATTAATTTCGAAAATAACAAAGGCGGTTAGTAATTTCGGGCACAAAGTAGCACAAGCGCAATTTAGTTGACAAGCGTTGAGGGAGCGAGCGAGCTGTGTGCAAATGATGATGCAGGAATTTAAACACTCATTGTTTTGAGCTTTGACCTGTAAACATATGTACATATGTATGTATATTCACTTTCGTGCGAGTGCACATTTCCTTATACGTAGAAAATATGTGTAAATGTTTGCGATGAGCTGTGTGTGAATGCCGATAAGTAGCGATGTGTCAGTTTATTGTTTTTTCTTCCTCCAGTGGGTTACAAAAAAAAAAAAAAAAAAAAAA